GGAACAGAAGCAGTGATCTGTGGGCCTGACAAGATGTCTCAGGAAGTGTGCTGTCTCCCCGGGGCTAAGATCCAAGATGTAACTGAACGACTGCAAGGAATCATAAAACCCACTGACAAATACCCCTTCCTCTTGGTTCATGTGGGAACCAATGACACTGCAAGCAATAGCCTCCAGAGGATCAAAAGAGACTACGAGGCTCTGGGCAGGAAATTGAAGCAATTAAATGCACAAATTGTCATCTCATCTGTCCTTCCAGTTGAACGACGTGGCCCAGGGAGAGAGGGAAAAATAGTGGAAGTGAACAACTGGCTTCGCAAATGGTGCAAACAGGAACGGTTTGGATTCTTAGATCACGGACTGCAGTTTCTTAAAGATGGACTTCTGGCAAGCGATGGGCTGCACCTCACAACGGTTGGGAGGAATGTTTTTGCCAAAAATCTCAGAAACCTCATCAGGAGGGCTTTAAACTGACTAATGTGGGGGAGGGAGACAGTGCTCCTGAAGGTAGGAGTCTATCAATTGATGAAGATGATCATCCAAATGTCATAGACCAAATGGAGCAAACAGCACACAGACCTAGTGGTGGGAGGAAAAAATCCTTAAATAAGAGACACGGGGGAATGATTAATGGACTTCAATGTCTGTACACTAATGTGCAAAGCATGGGAAATAAACAAGATGAGCTTGAGCTCTTGGTACAGCAAACTAAATATGACATAATAGGCATCACTGAAACCTGGTGGGATAATCCCACGATTGGAATGTAATAATGGAGGGATACAATCTATTTCAGAGAAACAGGCCAGACAAGAAAGGAGGAGGAGTGGCGTTATATGTCAGGGATGTGTATACCTGTGAAGAGATCCAAGATTTAGAACCTCAAAGCCAAAGTGAGAGCATTTGGGTCAAAATTAAGGGAGAGAAGAATAACAGAGACCTCATTGTGGGAGTTTACTATAGATCCCCAAGCCAAACGGAGGACATAGATGATGCCTTCCTGGAACAGATGGCCAAGCATGCAAAAGGAAGGGAGATAGTAGTAATGGGGGACTTCAATTACCCGGATATTTGTTGGATGTCAAACTCAGCCAAGAGCATAAGGTCAAACAGATTCCTCACTGGACTTGCAGACAACTTCATTGTCCAGAAAGTGGGAGAAGCAACAAGAGGAACAGCCATTTTAGATCTGGTCCTAACCAATGTTGATGACCTGGTTAGTGGGGTAGAAGTGGAAGGATCATTAGGCGCGAGTGATCATGCTCTTCTGAAGTTTACTATACAGCGGAAAGGAGCAGCCAAGCATACTAGGACTCAATTTCTTGACTTTAAGAAAGCCGACTTCATAAAACTTAGGGAAGTGCTGGGTGAGATCCCATGGACAGTAATACTGAAAGGAAAGGGAGTTCATGATGGCTGGGAGTTTGTTAAGAGGGAGATAGTAAAAGCACAACTTCAGGCAATACCAATGAGACGGAAACATGGAAGGTGCCTAAAGAAGCCAGGGTGGCTATCTAAAGAACTTTTAACTGAGTTAAGATTAAAAAAGGATGTGTACAAAAAATGGAAAAGGGGGGAAACCACCAAAGAGGAATTCAAACAAATAGCCAGCACGTGTAGACACAAAGTCAGAAAAGCTAAAGCACAGAATGAACTCAGGCTTGCTAGAGAGGTTAAAAGCAACAAAAAAGGCTTTTATGGGTATGTTCGTAGCAAAAGGAAGAACAAAGAAACAGTGGGGTCACTCAGAGGAGAAGATGGTGAAATGCAAACAGGGGACACAGAAAGGGCTGAACTCCTCAATGCCTTCTTTGCCTCAGTCTTCTCCGATAAAGAAAACAATGCCCGACCTGAAGAATTTGGAGCAAATGATTCAGCAGAGGAAACACAGCCCAGAATAACTAAGGAGATAGTACAAGAATACTTGGCTAGTTTAGATGTATTCAAGTCTCCAGGGCCAGATGAACTGCATCCAAGAGTATTAAAAGAACTGGCAGATGTGATCTCAGAACCACTGGCAGTCATCTTTGAGAATTCCTGGAGAACAGGCGAAGTCCCAGCAGACTGGAGGAGGGCAAATGTTGTACCTATTTTCAAAAAGGGGAAAATAATTACCGCCCAGTCAGTCTGACATCAATACCAGGGAAGATTCTGGAGCAGATCATTAAGCAAACAGTCTGTGAGCACCTAGAAAGGAATGCTGTGATCACCAATAGTCAGCATGGATTTCTGAAAAATAAGTCATGTCAGACTAACCTGATCTCGTTTTTTGACAGAATTACAAGCCTGGTAGATGAAGGGAACGCAGTGGATGTAGCCTACCTTGATTTCAGCAAGGCATTTGACAAGGTGCCCCATGATATTCTTGTAAAGAAGCTGGTAAAATGCGGTCTTGACTATGCTACCACTCAGTGGATTTGTAACTGGCTGACTGACCGAACCCAAAGGGTGCTCATCAATGGTTCCTCTTCATCCTGGAGAAGAGTGACTAGTGGGGTGCCACAGGGTTCTGTCTTGGGCGCGGTCTTATTCAACATCTTTATCAACGACTTGGATATCCTGATCAAATTTGCAGATGACACCAAACTGGGAGGGGTGGCTAACACCCCAGAGGACAGGATCACACTTCAAAACGACCTTGACAGATTAGAGAACTGGGCCAAAACAAACAAGATGAATTTTAACAGGGAGAAATGTAAAGTATTGCACTTGGGCAAAAAAAATGAGAGGCACAAATACAAGATGGGTGACACCTGGCTTGAGAGCAGTACATGTGAAAAGGATCTAGGAGTCTTGGTTGACCACAAACTTGACATGAGCCAACAGTGTGACGCGGCAGCTAAAAAAGCCAATGCAATTCTGGGCTGCATCAATAGGAGTATAGCATCTAGATCAAGGGAAGGAATAGTGCCACTGTATTCTGCTCTGGTCAGACCTCACCTGGATTACTGTGTCCAGTTCTGGGCACCACAGTTTAAGAAGGACACTGACAAACTGGAACGTGTCCAGAGGAGGGCAACCAAAATGGTCAAAGGCCTGGAAACGATGCCTTATGAGGAACGGCTAAGGGAGCTGGGCATGTTTAGCCTGGAGAAGAGGAGGTTAAGGGGTGATATGATAGCCATGTTCAAATATATAAAAGGATGTCATATAGAGGAGGGAGAAAGGTTGTTTTCTGCTGCTCCAGAGAAGCGGACACGGAGCAATGGATCCAAACTACAAGAAAGAAGATTCCACCTAAACATTAGGAAGAACTTCCTCACAGTAAGAGCTGTTCGACAGTGGAATTTGCTGCTAAGGAGTGTGGTGGAGTCTCCTTCTTTGGAGGTCTTTAAGCAGAGGCTTGACAACCATATGTCAGGAGTGCTCTGATGGTGTTTCCTGCTTGGCAGGGGGTTGGACTCGATGGCCCTTGTGGTATCTTCCAACTCTATGATTCTATGATTCTATGCTGGATTCCGCTGTGGGAAATACCAAGCTAACTCTACACAGTCTAACCTATTGCTGTATGCCCAACCTATCTGGAGGTAGTGCAAAGTGTGAGCTGCAACAGGAAGCCATTTCTCAGAGAAGCGGGGCTGCATATATTTGCATGCTCACCAAAAAAGCACAAAATCTGCTGCCTTGGGCTTAAAATACAGTATTAAAAAAGCAGTCATTATGGAGAAAAGTTGTGAAATGGCTCTTCAGAAACTATATGGTATCTGAATAGGGTTTCCTTACAACAGGTGGGGGTGGTGGAGGGGTATATACAACTTCTAGCCATTTTTGAGTACCCTTGAGGGAGCATCTCCACCCCCATCATTCAGCCCAGACACTGAGATCCAGTTCTGAGGGCCTTCTGGTGGGTCCCTCCCTGTGAGAAGTGAGGTTACAGGGCAGGCAGAGGGCCTTCTCGGTAGTGGCGCCCGCCCTGTGGAATGCCCTCCCATCAGATATCAAGGAAATAAACAACTATCTGACTTTTAGAAGACACCAGAAGGCAGCCCTGTTTAGGGAAGTTTTTAATGTTTGATGTTTTATCGTGTTTTTAATATTCTGTTGGAAGCAGCCCAGAGGGGCTAAGGAAACAAATAAATAATAATTTGTGATTGTTTTTATTATTGTTGACATAATATACTGGCCATAGATCTCTCCCTTCCTTTATTTATAAAGTATTACATTTATATCACACCTTTCCTGGCTTAAGTCTCGCCGGTCCTAGTTTGACACTCTATATCATACTCTATAGTCCAGGGTGGGATGTTCTACAGCTTTTCTTCATGCTTGTCTTAGCCTTGGGATGTCAATGATTAAAAAAAGAAGAAGAGGAAACTTACTTTTTTAAAAAAAAAATACTGAAACCTGAAAATCCTAATTAAAAATGAAATAAAATATTGCTCCATCACCCAAACCTTTATATTCTGTCTGCAATAACTTAAGACAAGACACAATTCATGCGAAGCTGATGCAATTTCTTATCTATGTAAGCAAGCTTTAATTAAGCCCACTATTAATAGTCAGTGCACTTTAAAAGTTATACATCTCTGAGAAGAGCATGCAAATGTTGGCACGTATTCCATGGCTCATTAAGACCCATCCTCCCTTAATTAAAATGAAATATTAAGCCGGAAAAAATGTGATTGCCACATCTTTGCATCTTTCGTTGGTCACAGTATGTCAAAGTTTCAATCCCATGCATGTTTAGCTGGGAAGAAATCTCGCTGAAGGAAGTGGAGCCTACTTCTGAGTAAACAGACATACAGTCCGGCGGCATGCCAAACTTTCAAATGGAAGAAGTCTCCAAAGGGCAATATTTATCCTTTCTGACAGCCATGCGAAGATAGCGAAATTGCCTTGAGATAACATTTCACATCACCTTGAAGTCCTGTGATGGCCTGGGAATCTGATTCAGAGGCTGAACTGGAGGAATCCCAGCCTGCACAGGATTCCCCGCCTCCAGGGCCGGCTGAGCCGGGGCAGGGCCTTGAATCTGAAGGGCCCTCACCTGTGCCGGATCCTCAGGAGCAGGCACCAGCTGAATCCGCGGCCATGTTGCATCTAGTTTAAGAAAAGCCACATTAGGTTCTTAAGTTCAGACATTACAATTATTAATATTTGAAACAGTTTATAATATTTATGTAGTCTTATTATCATCGGAAGACCTTCCATCAAGGATGCTTCCCAGCGAAAGGAATGCACACAGCAGAGAGTTAACTCTCTATTGTCAAAGATAACGCAGTCGCTTCTGCAGCTCTGAAGACCTACAGACCCCAATCTAGGCATCTATTCCCAGGTCTGTGTTCAACATGTTGACATGCAGAGGGCCGTAAGGTCAGTTGGCTAGCCCCAGCTGGGCCGTCTCTTTCCAGCCGTCCTGCTGCGAAGACCCATCGGCCTCCCCTCTGACGTAAATCAGCGACCTGGGCTTCAAAGCAAGGGCACACTATCAGCAGATCAAACTACGCAGATCAAACTACGCACACAGAATAGGCGTGAGGCTTGTAAAAGCATACTACAACTACAGATTTAATAATCATAAATCAGGACAAAGAAACATGTCATCTATCTCTTTGTCTTCTCAGAGAGACAGAGAAAAGCAAACGCAATACATACAACAGAAGTTCCCAGCAAGCTGTGCTGGAATGTAAACAGACATGTGACACGCAACAGTTCCATCTCTGCTCCTTAAGGTGGAATGGACTATTCCCAACACAACATGTGTTCTACGGAGCAGTTGCAGCAACTAGGGAACAGTCTCCATCCATGTCAGGATGTTTTCCTGGTTGCCCAGGAAAGTATAAAGAAAGGACCTTTCTTAAGGATTGCTCCGTCAGACCGCACAGGCTGATCTGGTCCTGTTCTCAGGGTGGCCAGCCAGATAGCGTCATAGGATTGTATAGTTGGAAGGGACCACAAGGGTCATCCAGTCCAGCCCCATGCAATGTAGGAATTTTTCTCCCAACATGGGGCTTGAACCCACAACCATGAGATTAGGAGTCTCATGCTCTACCAACTGAGCTATCCTAGGAACCTCACAAGGAGGACATGAGCGCAATGGCACATTCAGCACTTTCAGTTCCCAGTCTTCAGAGACATACTCTCTCATACCAGGTTTAAGGTGCTGGTTTTAACCTTTAAAGCCCTATACGGCCTAGGACCCTCGTACCTACGGGACCGCCTCTCCTGGTATGCCCCACAGAGAAACCTACGGTCTGCAAATAATAACACCCTCAAGGTCCCAGGCCTCAGAGAGGTTAGGCTGGCATCAACTAGAGCCAGGGCCTTCTCGGCTGCGGCTCCAATCTGGTGGAATGCTCTGTCACAAGAGACTAGGGCCCTGCGGGACCTGACATCTTTCTGCAGGGCCTGCAAGACAGAGTTGTTCCACCAGGCCTTTGGTCAGGGCGCAGCCTGACTCCCCCCTCTGGCAACCTGCACAGAATTTTGCCTAATCGGTTGCCATCAATTCGATTTTAATTAATTTTTATAATGAAATATTTTTAGAATGTGTGATTATTTGACTGTTTGATTATTTGATTGTTGTTAGCCGCCCTGAGCCCGGCTTCGGCTGGGGAGGGCAGGATATAAATAAAATTTATTATTATTATTATTATTCTGACAGTGAAGGCAGAACATAGCCACTACGGCTAGGTCTTACATTACGAGAAGGTACACGCCAGATGTTTAGGGGGCACCCTGTAATGCAGGCATGAGCAGTGCCGGATTTACGTATAAGCTAAACAAGCTATAACTTAGGGCCCCACTCTCTTGGGGGACCCCAAAAAATTTAAAGGTAAAAAACCTGGATGTACATTTCCAAAATATAAGATAAAAAACAAATAAAATAAAACCTACATACCACAACAGAGTTTAGTGTTGTGTAGGCTCCTATGATGTAAGTAATATAGGTAAAGGTAAAGGGACCCCTGACTATTAGGTCCAGTCGTGGACGACTCCGGGGTTGCGGCGCTCATCTCGCTTTATTGGCCGAGGGAGCCGACGTACAGCTTCCGGGTCATGTGGCACACGGAAACGCCGTTTACCTTCCCGCTGGAGCGGTACTGCTTTAAATGTGTAGTTGTCAGGCTTCGGAGACTCGGCTTCCTTCCCTCCTTTTGCCGTAGATAAGCAGGACAAAGCGAAAAGAGTTGCTTATTATTTAAAGAGTCTTTAATCATAGCAAAAGAACAAAGCAGCCATTCTCGGAATGACGGTGTTCCCAGTTAAGGTGTCCACCCACTTCCATGCCTTGCAACCTGATCTCGCAACCATTGTGCTTTTTGTGTAGCCACCTTATCTGCTCTACATGTCCTTGGACTAATAGGCTGGACAGTCTCCAGTGAGAGAGAGTCTGTTAACTTACTCTCTTTTCCTGGTCTTCTTCACTTTGCTGTTCACTCCCCAGTTCTTCCCAGCTTCTGCCTTCTGTATGATGTCCCTCTGCAAACCACTGTTCCAGATCTATACTGCTCCACTGCTCCTGGGCAGCTTCAGGATCCTGGTCAGGAGCAGGGGGGAGGGGGAGGCTCCCACCATTCCTCACCAGAGCAGTACTCCTCAGCCTGGTCTCTGAGAGTAGTGCATTTAATGTCATCTAGTCTTCCTGCAAAGAGATTGAGATGAACGCTCAGTGAGCAGGTCGTCGAGAAGCATCCTTCAACTGTGTGCTTGCATAAGATTAGGTGGGCACTAGGCAAGCTGTTATTAGGGACACAGGTGGCGCTGTGGGCTAAACCACAGAGCCTAGGACTTGCCGATCAGAAGGTCGGCAGTTCGAATCCCTGTGATGGGGTGAGCTCCCGTTGCTTGGTTCCAGCTCCTGCCAGCCTAGCAGTTCAAAAGCAGGTCAAAGTGCAAGTAGATAAATAGGTACTGCTCTGGTGGGAAGGTAAATGGCATTTCAGTGCGCTGCTCTGGTTTGCCAGAAGCGGCTTAGTCATGCTGGCCACATGACCCGGAAGCTGTACGCCGGCTCCCTCGGCTAGTAAAGTGAGATGAGTGCCACAACCCCAGAGTCGGGCACGACTGGACCTAATGGTCAGGGGTCCCTTTACCTTTTAGGCAAGCTGTTTCTTCCTGCCAAACATTGCAAGGAAAGAAGGAATCTTCACCAATCCATGCAGAGGTAGGCAGGCTGTAATAAGCCAGTGTAGATGTGAATGCCATTCTGTAAAGTCAGATGTAATTACTGACGGGAGCAGGCAGGTTTGATGCAGATGAAACTTCATTTGAAGTCGTGCTCTTATACTTTTTGTTTAATTAAATGTGCCCTTTATTTATTTAGTCATTATTTGTCCATAAATGTCTCTCTCCGAAATATAAAAATCACCCAGCCGAGATTGTGCTTTACAGTTGTAATATGCAGTAAGGAATGTCTGCATGTGTCCTAAAGAATTGGTTGCCAAGTACCTGCTGTATTATTCAGAAGGCTTCGCAATTTGTAGTCACATTCCAGCTGTGCTTCACATTATTCCGAAGAGCCTGGTGTTTGCCAACATTTCCTTTCCAGTCTACGGATTGGCCTGGCGTGTTATGTTCTCTTCTGTGACTGCCGTTTGCTCCATTGCAGCACAGATACACCCAGAACACCACAAAGAAATGTATTGACATCAAGAGCCAAGCACCTGTTACTAGTAATGGAGCAACTACATTGCATAAATAAGGTCCCATTTTCAATCTCCAGTAGCTCTAAGGAGTGGTGGGAAAGATTCTGAAACCCTTGCCTGTCAGTGCAGACAAGATCTATGCTCTTACTCTGCATAAAGGCAGTTTCCTCTGTTTTGTGTGCCAGAAATCAAGCACTACATCTCTCCTTTTCACTCAGTCTTTGTATAAGTAGTGAAGAGTCTTAATATCAGAAGTGGCTCCACTTGCCCTCTCATCTAGCCCCTGACTCTTTAGTCAGGACAGTAAATCATGTCTGGCACTGGGAACCAGTGGCGTAGCGTGGGTTGCCTCTGCCCGGGGCTGCTCAGATAGGGGTGGGAGGGAGGGAAATGGATGGAACACACATGCAACTGCCTAATGGCATCCACATCACCCAGGAGATCACCAACACAGAGATGAGAAAGAAGAGTTGTTCCGTTGTCAGGAGAAGAGGTCACTTCCTGGTTTGCATGGAAAGGCTGTTTTCAACGGAGCCCAGTGACAGAATTGCACAGCTGTATTGAGGCAGCACCAGGTGTCGAAATTTTGTTCTTCCTAACAATTTTGTGCCTGGGGCAACAGCCCCTGTGGCCTCCACCACACTATGGCACTTATGGCAACTTCCAGATAACCTGTTTATTGAGTATTCATCCTGATTCGTCCGGGGGGGGGGCGCTGTAGACTATGAGCCTTCACTCTGATTTGTTTGCAGGGAAGCTAGACAATGTCACATCAAAGCAGACGTCATTCCATGCTTTCCGTCATCACTTTTATCTTCGCAAAAACACCAGTCTTTGGATGGACTGGATGCATTGCACAAGAGCTCTAGATCAGCAATAATTGGACATGCCAGCTATCTTACCTTGAAGAACAAAGACAGTGACAGGAGCAAGTGAGGCGGTTAGGCTGGGATTGAGTTCCAGTCCCACAACATTGACCACGTTCTTCCTGCCTACTCAAGTCATGCCTCCATATCTCCACAGCGTTCTGACTTTGCCTTCGAAGCCGTAAATATGAGAGCAGGCAGATGAAACAAAACAGTCCTATGCGATGACATAAACAGAAGGTATTGATAAGGCTGTGAGGAGGCTGCTGCCACCATATTGTTCTTCACTATGAGAATCCCTGCTGGATTCACATACACTTACACTAGAACAAAGTAGCATTTGGCATCCAACCAAATCTCAGTGGTACAGGGAAGACCAGATGGTGTGTACAAAATGAGGCAGGGTTTGTTGTTGATTAGTTGCTAGACACAAGTTGTTGAAATGGATACGATACTTGCTTCCCTAGTGGGTTACTAATTATTTTGAGGGGGAGAATATATGAATTCCTAAGGTTGCAGGTCAAATACAGTGGTACCTTGGTTCTCAAACTTAATCCGTTCCGGAAGTCCGTTGCAAAACCAAAGCGTTCCGAAACCAAGATACGTTTTCCCATAGAAAGTAATACAAAATGGATGAATTCATTCTAGACTTTTAAAAACAACCCCTAAAACAGCAATTTAACATGAATTTTACTATCTAACAAGACCATTGATCCATAAAATGAAAGCAGTCATAAATGTACTTGTGAAAAAGTACCCCTGCCCGTACGGGCCAGTCTTGACAGACTCTAGGGTTGTGCGCCCATCTCACTCAAGAGGCCGGGGGCCAGCGCTGTCCGGAGACACTTCCGGGTCACGTGGCCAGCGTGACAAGCTGCATCTGGCGAGCCAGAGCCGCACACGGAAACGCCGTTTACCTTCCCGCTAGTAAGCGGTCCCTATTTATCTACTTGCACCCGGGGGTGCTGTCGAACTGCTAGGTTGGCAGGCGCTGGGACCAAACAACAGGAGCGCACCCCGCCGCGGGGATTCGAACCGCCGACCTTTCGATCGGTGAGGCTTTTACCCACACAATCAATCAGTAGCTGAACTGGGTTCCACACAATCACAAAAACAAATTAACTGAAAAAGCCTCAAAAACAAAAACGCAAAATAAAAAGCAAAAACAAAAGCGCCAAGCTTAATCCGTTCCGGAAATCTGTTTGACTTCTGAAATGTTTGAAAACCAAGGCACGGCTTCTGATTGGCGCGGGCGCCCCAGAAACAATATTCAATTGCCTCATCGGACATTCAGCTTCTGAAAAAAAGTTCGAACACTTAGTTCCGGGTTTTTGGTGTTTGGGAACCAAGGCATTTGAGAAGTAAGGTACCACTGTAATAGGATGTCCCTTTTTTCATCGGAGAAATGTTGGAGGGTATGTAATAGCAGTAACAATTTTTATATGCCCATCTGACTGGGTTGCTCCAGCCACTCTAGGAGGCTCCCAACAAAATATTAAAAACACAGCAAAACACCAGCTATTAAATACTGTGAGGAAACTGCTCCAAGTAGGGTGAGATAATGTTGGGAAGGGAGAGATTTTGCTCTCTGCCACATAAAGAATACCCCCCCTTTGTGTGAATGGAGCAGTCATGGGAATGAATACTAGGTGCTGCTCCATCATGTCATATTTGACCCTTGCATTCTCATTTTTCAGCCGAACATAACTGACAGCAGCCCTCTTATATGGGAGCCATAGCCAAGCCACTTAGACAAACAATGCAGAGTACAGTGGTGCCTCGCAAGACGAAATTAATTCGTTCCACAAGTTTCTTCTTCTTGCGAGTTTTTCGTCTTGCGATGCACGGTTTCCCATAGGAATGCATTGAAAATCAATTAATGCGTTCCTAGGGAAACCGACTTCAGACCAGGTCCGGGGACAGTCTGTCCCCCGACCTCTTCTGAAGGCTGGGGGGGGGGACAATGGCTTTTCTTCCCACCCCCAGCATTTTAAAAAACCCCGGGACAGCGGAGGGCTTCTCCGCTGTCCGGGGCGATCTTAAAATGCTGGCGGGCGGCATTTTAAAATCGCCCCAGGACAGCGGAGGACTTATCCGCTGTCCGGGGCGATTTAAAAGCCCCTGGGAAGGCAGGCAGGGGGGACAAAGACTTTTGCCCCCCGCCAGCCTTCAGAAGAGGTCCTGGACCTCTTCTGAAGGCTGGCGGGGGCGAAAGTCTTTGCTCCCCCCGCCTGCCTTCAAAAGCTGTCCGGCCAAGGCTTCGCGGACCTCTGCCGGCATGCCGAAGCCTGCGCGTGCTGACATCAGCGCGCCCAGGCTTCGCGGACCGCTCCGCCAGCAACGGCAGCGATGCCGCTGCTGGCGGAGCCTTGCCGGCATGCGGAAGCCTGCGCACGCTGACATCAGCGCGCCCAGGCTTCGCGGACCTCTCCTGCCTTCAAAAGCCGTCCGGGATAGCGGGAAGCGCTTCCCTGCTATCCCGGACTGCTCTTAAAATGCTGGCGCTGGGGAGCAAAGCCTTTCGGCCCCCACCAGCCTTCCTGGACCTCTTCTGAAGGCCGGAGGGGGGGGGAAGGCTTTGCTCCCCACCGCTAGCATTTAAAAGAGGTCCCCGGAGATTTCCCTATGGGCTTTCGTCTTGCGAAGCAAGCCCATAGGGAAATTCGTTTTGCGAAGCGCCTCCAAAACGGAAAACCCTTTCGTCTAGCGGGTTTTCCGTCTTGCGAGGCGTTCGTCTTGCGGGGTACCACTGTACTGCATCATCGTGACAAGATGAGTGCTCTGTTTACTGAATATGTATTGCAAAGCCTTCATAATTTGAAACATCCCAGCTGATGAAATTAGGGTCTTGGGAGCTTGGTTTGTCACCTGGCCAGACAGCGCTGTTCAAACGCCTGCATTAGATCCTATGTTCAAAAAGCCCAGTTTAACAGAGCAGTTACAAATGAGTCCGAGGGAGACAGCAGGTTTCAGACTCGATAGTAGACGTGGTGCTTTGCTCGGTGATTAATTTTGCTGGCTATGGGGGCAGGATCAGGACTTGTTCCTTCGGGGTCTGTCTTGCTGCGTTGCTTCTTGGTGGATATGAGTAGCGAGAGCGGATTCGGAGCCTGTACTCCTCATGCTTCCAGATAAGGAATGCTAAACACAGAGGAAGGCAGAATTCTAGACAGGAAATCTGCAAAGAAAGAGATTGGGGGAGAAGAGTGATTAATCAAGGAAATGCTATACCAGAGAAGCAGATAATCTATAGGGGTTAAAGTAAATTCATTTCTTTTTATATATAAAAACATTCTACAAAAACTAATAGCCATTAAGGGCACCAGAATTCTGCTCTATGCTGATGTCAACCCCAAACCATGCAAAGAACTCATGTTTCATGAATCGTAGGTCATTTATATTCCTAGCGGTTTTTCATCCATTATCTTAGGCAGAAAATACTGCTTTCACTGCAAGACCAGACATGGTATTTTGGATGCCTCAGGGAGGCAGTTGATAGGAACAAATATTTAAAAATTTGCAGCAAGCAATTTTCAGAAGACCATTCTTGGGGAAAATAACGATCAAATTGTGAAAAAGCACATAGTGGGTGCTATCCAACATTAGTCAAAAACTTACAAAATGAATTTGTAATAGGACAAATGTAAGAGTCTACACTTAGGCAGAAAGAACCAGTTGCACAGATATAAGATGGGGGATACCTGAATTGCCAGTAGTACTTGTGAAAAGGATCTAGGGGTCTTAGTAGACCATGAGCTTGACATGTCTCAACAGTCTGATGCTGAACCAAAAAAGCTAATGCTATTCTAGGCTGCATCAACAGACATCTAGGGTCCAGATCAAGGGAAGTATTAGTACCGCTCTATTCTGCCTTGGTCAGACCACACTGGGAATATTGTGTCCAATTCTGGGCACCACCATTTAAGAAAGATGTTGACAACCTGGAATGTGTGCAGAGGAGGGCAACCAAGATGATCAAGGGTCTTGAAACGATGTCTTATGAGGAGCTCTTGAAGGAACTGGGTATGTTTATCCTGGAGGAGAGGAGACTGAGAAGAGATATGATAGCCATCTTCAAATATCTAAGGGGCTGTCACATGAAGGATGGGCATAGAGGCTCAGATCTGAACTGATTGATTCAAATTACAAGATAGGAGATTCCAACTAAACATCAGGAAATACTTTCTGACAGTAAGAGCTGTTCAACAGTGGAACAGATGCCTTCTTGAGGTGGTAGACTTTCCTTCCTTGGAGGTTTTTAAGCAGAGGTTGTGTGGTCAATTGTCAGGGATGCTTTAGTTGAGATTCTTGCATAGCAGAGGGTTGGACTTGATGACCCTTGGGGTCCCTTCCAATTCTACAATTCTATGTAAGGGAGAAAAATGGAAGAAACCTTAAAGGTCAGTAAAAGGTTGAGCCTCAAGTGCAACAATCAGAAATAACTCTAGCAAGGAAAGGGAATACAATTCATGAAATGGGTCTCTAGGTAGAGTGGCAAATTAAGGGAGGCTTGACCTCCTTTATCTAAAGCATCCTAGATTTAAAGAAAGAAAACACATTCTGTACCAATACAATAAATTCAAGGAAGTAAGCAAACAAGAAAGGAAGAGATGCAAAAGAAAGAGGTTGGAAAATTAGAAGGAACCGTGTTAAGCTAAGGAACTTGCCAGAGGGAGATCATAATGATGGCTTGAATATATTCTTAGAAGAAAAATTAAAATCTACTTGGGCCTTCGTGACGGTTGTGCCACAGAGACTGAGCAGGCAGAAATGAGCGAGGGCAAAAAAAGGCTGAATTTACCTAGAGGCATTTTAATTAAATTCCCTTGTGCTCAAGTTCATGAGGCAATTCTTCCCGCGACATGGAACGGTCACAAGTTTTGTTTGGAAAGGGGAAAGATTCGAATCCTGGATGTTCATTCAAAACATGTTACCCGCAAAAAGGGGGAGATTAAAGGAGCAATTACTTAGGTAAAGGTAAGGGCCCCCTGGACAGTTAAGTCCAGTCAAAGGTGACTATGGGGTTGCGGCACTCATCTCGCTTTCAGGCCGAGGGAGCTGGCCTTTGTCTGCAGACAGCTTTCCAGGTCATGTGACCAGCAGGACTAAACTGCTTCTGACACAACAGGACACTGTGACAGAAACCAGAGCACATGGAAACACCGTTTACCTTCCCCACCACAGTAGTACTTATTTATCTGCTTGCACTGGTGTGCTTTCAAACTGCTAGGTTGGCAGGAGCTGGGACAGACCAACAGGAGCTCATTCTGTCATGGGGATTTGAACTGCCGACCTTCCGATCGGCAAGCCCAAGAGGCATCCTTGGTAGCAATTACTTACCTGTGAGTAGCATAGGTGCTGCTTTGCAGATGGAGCTAGAGCTCTGTTGGCAGGATAACACTTATTATAGAAGAGACCTGGGAGGTCACCCAGATTTTCCTGAAAAATTCAGGCTAGATGGTTGACAAGCCTCTGATCCCATCGAGGAGAACTCATCACTTCTACTCCAAACACTCTTGCTGTTATGAAGTGCCTCCTAATCCTTAGCCATTATCTGCTTTCCATCCATATCCACACCTTGGCTTTAGTCCTGCCCTCTGGAGCATCTATGAAAAATTCTGCTGCATCTTCTTTTTGACAGTCAGATATCTGAAAACCGCTGCTCATTAGTGCCACCAGAAGTCCTCTGACATTCTGTTAGAAAGCTTTGTGCTCATAGCTGTCTCACTATCAATTCTTTCCTTTCAAATTCAGAAGGTAGCCATGTTCATCCATCCATCCATGGTAAGGCAACATGTTTTTCAGGCAAGGAAAACGTCACAAAATAGCGTGCAAACTTTCAGATGCTCCAGAATTCTTCACCAGGCTAGATATTAAACAATGCTGGGAGTGGGTTCTGGGTGGGGAGGTTGGCTGTGATTTCGCCACTGAAGAAGTACAACAACTGTACAATATCCTAAATAACATATTTGAGCCGGGAACCATTTGTATCCCATGAGGAGCAATTAGTACTTTCCTCTCTTGCAGCAGGAAGGAAGCAATCATCGTTTCCATTCCCTCGGCTCCTGTTAGTTATGCTATTTGGATATCATGGATATCACATCAAGATTTATCACGGGAAAAGCTGGAACAATCCAAGCAAAATTTGTTCAAGCAAGACAAAGGAGTTGGCTGAAACAGGAAGAATCTTAGTTCTTTTGGCACTATGCTTCATGGGAAAATATGCACTGTCCATTTCAGCTAAAAGTAACAGCAGGTGTATTGCTATAGTCCTTAGGGATACACGGAACATAAACAGGTTAAGAAGCACCTGTTGGGTCAAGCCAATGGCCCATCAAGTCCCAATGAAGTTTTCACAGAATCAGAGAACTGTAGAGTTGAAAGGGACCCTGAAGGCCATCCAGTCTCACCCCTTGCAATACAGAGATATTTTGCCCAATGCGGGGATCGAACCCACAACTCAGATTAAGAGGCTCATGCCCTGTGCTTGTTGCTTGTGGGGGGGTCACTAATTTTTGGGAAAGTGCTGACACAAGACAGTGGTGCAGCTAATCTCAGACTATGAGCTTCTGACAGGGGTCTTCTTGAAATAGCAGCAATTAACATTTTTCTTCCCTGATCACCATCATCAATTTAAAAAAAATAAATAAAATGTTTATTTGGTTTTTCAAATTTAAGTTTTACAATCACATATCCAACATACATCATAAAAACAAGATTCCAAAGAATCTCCTGGACTTCCCTCCTCCCCTTTGTGGGTCCTATTTTTAGACATTTCCTCATGCATCTTTTATAAGAATCCAAATCTTTTACATCTCCATTATATGCAAAATTCACCATTAAACTACAAGTGTTATTCCAATCCTGCTAATGATTCTAACTGTTTACAATTATTTTTAAGATAAATTATAAATTTTCCCCATTCCTTATTTAAGTTTTGGTCTTCCTGGTTTCTGATTCTTCCAGTCAGTTTTGCCATTTTGGCATAATCCATCCACTTGATCTGCCATTCTTCTCTGGTAGGGACTTCATCTTCTTTCCATCTCTGGGCCAATAACATCTGCACAGCTGTGGTCACATACATAATATTTTCTGCTCCATTGGGATTTCGGCACCACATGTCTTGTCTACACCTCAAATAAAAAGATAGCGAGATACAGTGGTACCTTGGTTCTCAAACTTAATCCGTTCCTGTCATGGACATGGCTTCCCACAGTCAAGATGAGCAGGATGAGTGAGGGGGCAGTCAGTCAGAAGAGGAAGAAATAGACTTGCCTCTTTCTCAGTCAGCTGAAGGCGGTGGGCTAAAAAAAACCCAACCCTTTCAGGAGGAGGAGAGACTGTACTTTATCAGTACAGCAAGAGCGGACTGGACAGAGGCCAATTCTCTGAGGAGCAACTGTTAGTCACCTTATGGGGAGGGGAAACTCTTCGTCAGAGGAAGAGGTCGGAGTTGACTCCAAAAGTCCGAGGGCGCACAGACAAACAAAGGTTAAGAAAAGGTGTCAATCAAAGAAGAAGGGGGGGGGATTTTGTGTTTCCTGTTGGTGGCGGAATTTGAGCTCAGATGCCTCAACTTCATCGTGATAATACAGCCGCTAGTATAAGCGACTCTGAGGTTAATTAAAGTCTATTATAAATCTTCTTGTAAATACAACTACTGAGTGCTGATTACCTAAGCCTGCAGCCTGCCAGTTTCTGCCAGTTCCGGAAGTCCGATCCAAAACCAAAGCTTTCCAAAACCAAGGTGCACTTTCCCATAGAAAGTAATGCAAAATGGATTACAGTGGTACCTCTGGTTGCAAACGGGATCTGTTCTGGAGGCCCGTTCGCAACATGAGCAGAACGCAACCCACGTCTGCACGTGCGCGTGTTGCGATTCGCTGCTTCTGCGCATGCGCGTGACGTCATTTTGTGCAACTGCACATGCATGAGCGGCGAAACGCGGAAGTAACCCTTTCCGGTACTTCCGGGTTGCCGCGGGACGCAACCTGAAAACGCTCAACCTAAAGTAACATGAAGTATGACTGTATTCTGTTCCAGACTTTTAAAAATAACCCCTAAAACAACAATTTAACATGAATTTTACTATCTAATGAGACCATTGATCCATAAAATGAGAGCAATAAATAATGTACTGCAGTCACACAATCAATCAACCAGTAGCCGAGCTGGGTTCCACACAGTCTCACACACACACACACACACACACAGCCACAAAAGCAAAAACGCAAAATAGCAAAAACAGACAGACCTCAGGCAACCCCTCAAAACGGAAGTGTGGCACTCAAATAGTCAGTGTGGCGCTCAAATCTAAAGTGTGGCACTCAAATCAGAAGTGTAACACTTAAAACGGAGCATGTTTGGCGTCTGAAAAATGTTCGCAAACCGGAACACTTCCGGGTTTGCAGTGTTTGGGTTCCACGTTGTTTGAGTACCAAGGCATTTGAGAACCACGGTACCATTGTAATTCTACTGGTCTCTGTAGCTCAGTACGTGGTGAAGACAGGCCTCTTGTGAATCATTAAATCAGAGCTTTCCAAACTTTTCATGTTTCATTTCTTTTAAGATATACGATACATCATTTAGTGACACAGTAATTCAGATTTACTAGCAAACTGGAGGTTAAACTAACCCATTTCCAGTCCTGGGAGGAGCAAGCAAGCGTTTGCATGACACACCTATACAGGTGTCTCAACACACAGTTTGGAAAGCTCTGCATTAAATGAAGTCTGGACTCAGCATCACAGGGGAGCAACTGGTGACCTTCAAGAGAGACGAGGCAACGTGGGTGACCCCAGTCCCCTCACGCCAAGTTTTGAATTGGGACAAGAAGAAATCCTACTTACATTTTTAACATTATGAAGTTTCTCTGTAGAAAGGTAATTTAAAACACACAACAAAAACCTATGTTTTCTACCTCCGTAAAGCCACCTAAGCTACTCCAACCCCTACCTCTAAATATCAGTATAAAAATATACAAGGCTTTGGGAAGTATTAAATAAAAAGATGAATGAAAATGTGTAAATACCAAAACAAAATATAAATCCTCTTCTCCTCTCTTACACACCCATGGACACACTCTCACACTGCTCCTACCACTCCTGACTCCTGGACTGGACACCTCTGGCTTGTGACATTCAAAAAGATGTCACAAAGGAGGGCAGGTCACTGTTACCTTGACAACCCACCTACCTGGACACTGCTCCTCAGTCTTCAAAGTTCTTCAGAACTTTGAGGCACCTAATAGTCTGTCTGAAACATCTTGTTGAAACATCTCTGTGTCTTGCCAAATGTGAGGTGGTTCTTTTTATGAGATTCAGAAGCAATACAAACACAAGCGAGAGACAAGATTAAAGATTCTATTCCAAACATTAAGCATTATATACATTACCAAGCAAGCACTTTGATCTGCTGCTGGGAAGCCCTCAAGAAGTGATGAAGTGACCCCCAGGTAGTTTCAGGTTGTACGACCCCCTGACTATGATTTCGTACATGAGCATCTGAGCTATGCCTCAAAATCATCTAATTTATAGAGATAGCCTGTATGGCTTGCCCAACTGCCTACATGCAGATTATTCATTAGCTAGCCCCCTCTACCAATACCGCATGTTCCTTCAATGTCTAACATCAAAGAAGGTCAGAAGGTACCCTGCATTATCTCTTCTTCCTTCCACCAGATTATACATTAAAGGCTGCTCTAAGCCATCAAAGAGTAGAACAACAGATAGATGGGAAGTAAACAGAAGGAGGAAGAGAAGACCATGTCAGATCACTTATCTCCTCGAAATACAATTGTCTTCTGGATAAATTTCCCCTACACTCGGTTCATATTCATATCTCCATTTCAGATTATCCTGATTTCTAAGAGAACCACCCCAATCTCCTTTTAAATACAACATGAAATGCACACCTCCGGGTTTAGGCAGTTTAGGGGTACTCTCCTTTTGACTCAAGAAAACCACCATTTTAGAATTCAAATCGGGGGAAATAAATACAGTAAATGGACCAAAGTACAAAGATTCACAAAATGTTTAGGGGTGTGCATACCCCTGCGTCCCCCCAGAAAAAAACACTGGTTCTATGATTCTATTGTTTTGGGGGGGGGTGAAGTTAGACACTGGAATCAGCAGGAATCGTCCAAACATCATTCAGCTATGAAAAGCTCTTGTTTGGAAATTTGCTAAAATATTTCTGTTAAGGAATTATCATTTTCTTCTATATCAATAACCTTTATTTATTGATGTGGAACATTTTTAAATCCTGCCTGTGAGCATAAAACATCCAAGGCAGCTAATCTTGCCAGCAATGAGCAATCAAGATCTTCACTGCTGTTGAATATTGTATTAGAAGGCAGTCCTGTTCAGGGAAGTTTTTAATGGAAGTTTTTTTATTTATTGTGCTTTTAATACAAGCTGTGACTGGAAAGTTTGGTGAATGGTCACAGAAATCGGACAGCGAGAAATAATTGAACATACATACCTTACAGGCCTTCAAAGTTGGCCCCCTCGGATACAATGCACCGTTGACAACATTTGTAGAACTGTTGGAAACTTCTGGAGAAGTCATCTTCTCGTACTGCTTTCAGTTCCCTCGTCACAGCAGCTTGGACGTGTGAAATGTTGGAAAATCTGTGTCCTTTCACTGCAGATTTCAGTGGGGGGGGGGATGCAGTGGGGCCAGATCAGGAGAATATGGAGGGTGGGTGTGATGGCCTGGGAATCGGATTCAGAGGCTGAACCTGAGGAATCCCAGCCTCCACAGGAGTCCCCGCCTCCAGGACCAGCTGAGCTTGAGCCTGAAGGGTCCTCACCTGTGCCAGATCCTCAGGTGCAGGCACCAGCTGAGTCTGCTTTGGCTCCAGAGGTGATCAAGGACCCATTGCCTGCAGGTGCTCCACTCTCAGCCCCATCAGGGGAAGAGGAGGTTGCCTCTGAGTCCGGTAACCCTCCAGCCTCTCCTGAGCTGCAGAGGCTCAGGGCAGAGAGGCGGAGGGAACTAAGTTCTTGCAGGATGAGTGCTCGCCTCCAGGCCAGGAGAGGCGAGTCACCTGTGGACCGAGGCCACCCTATGCCTCGGGGCAGATAAAAGCCAGTCAGCCCCAGGCTCAGGTTGCGGGAGCAACTATGTTGGTAGCCTGTTCCTGCCTGCACCCTGTCCTGCTCTTCTGCCAGAGTTCCTGACCTCACCTGACTCCTTGCCCCCGCTTCAGCCCCCGCTTCAGCCTTGATGCACAGCCTCCATACCACACCCTCGACCTCAGACTGGACTTGGACCACATCGCACGGTAACCCCCCGGGACCAGCACAGTGGGATCAACTCAGTAACCTCAGTAACGATTTCATGTGGAATGTGCAATTCTTCCACCACCGTTCAGATGGAGAAACGCCGATCCCACATCAATAACTCCTGACCTCTGTCGACATTTGCCGATGTTCTGCTCGTTGACGGTCTGTCAGACCGAGGGTCATCTTCGATGGTTTGCCGCCCTTCACAGAAACGCTCAAACCACTCATACGCTGTCTTTCGAGTTACAGCTTCATCTCTGTACACAACTGTCAGCATTTCGTGGGTTTCCGATGCCGATTTAGCCAGTTTGAAACAGAATTTCATATTGACTCTGCTCCATTTTCAATCACAACACACTGCATTATTAACCACTACTAAACACTATCGCATGAACGTAGGCCTGTCAACAAATGCTGAGACACATGCACATATGTTAGCTAAGATACGGACGAAGGCCTCCCTCGTGTCTCTGCGAATCCGGCAGTTCCCATTATCGCATACAGCGGTGATTCACCCTACTTTCCAGTCACACCTTATATTTTGTCGGGAGCTGCCCAGGGTGGCTGCGGCCACCAGGTCAGATGAGCGCCATATAAATAATAACATTATTATTATTATTATTACCCAGAAAAGAGGAAACAGCAGGCAGAAATAGGGGTATGTAGCTAATCCACAAATAGATTCTTGAATTCCTTGAGCACTTGAGATTTTGCCATGTGATGCCAATAAAGGTTTGACGATGATGATGATTTTGCCCTTTGAACTGGAGTAAATCACTGTCCCCTGTATTATAAAGCAGTTTTCATGCTCTGTGAAATAAAGGGTGATTGATTAGCTACTGCTTCCTTTGCTTGCTCTAATGAAGATGTTTCAATCCTTTTAAAATAGCTTATTATATTTGATTTTATTGCAATTGCTTCTGACAGCCTGCAATAATCTTTTTTAAAAAAAATATAAAGAAATGTTGCGGGTGCAGCCTGTTCATTGGCACACCTGTCTTCTGCTGATGTCTGAAATGTGAAGCCGGGAGACTCTCTGTCTCGTATAATTGCATTGCAAGCATGTGGAAGTCATATGGTGGGGGGTCACTTTTCCTGGCGATGCTTAGCAATGCAAACAGGAGCGCCCTCCACAATTTATTTATTTATTGGTACAAATGCATTGATTGAAAAGAGGGTGAAAGTGTTTTTCTTTTCCCCCAGTTGGAAAACCATGTGAAGTTACTTTCCAAAATGTATAAGTTGTTGCTAGGGTGGCATACTAAAGATGAAGAAGTTAAATCGGTGATGATGCAATGGGCAAACGATATTGGGCAATAATATTCAATTTTCATCTTGGGAAAAGTTATGGAGGGAGGATTTAAAATTTACAGCATGCTCCGCGTTGAAGAAAAACTATATGAAAATGATGTATCGTTGGTATTTAACACCCATAAAATTGGCAAAAATGTATAGTAATGTATGTTGGAAGTGTAAGGAAAAGGAAGGCACATTCTGCTATATGTGGTGGATATGCAAAATAACAAAGGCATTCTGGGAAATGATATATAATGAGTTGGGGGGGGAAGTTTAAAATAACGTTATGAAAAAAACAGAAGCTTTTTTACTAGGAAATTTAGATGCAGAAATACGAAAGGAGCAGAAAAGATTGTTTATGTATGTGACGACAGCAGCACAGATATTACCGGCCCAGAGATGGAAAGAAGATAAAGTCCCGACCAGAGATGAATGGTTGACAAAGTTGATGGACTACGCCGAAATGGTGAAAATGACCGGGAAAATCAGAAACCAAGAAGATGGAAACTTTAATAAGGAAAGGGAAAAATTCATAAGTTGTCTAAGGGAATACTGTAAACAACTAAAAACTTTGCCAGGATTACAATAACACTTATAATGTACTAAAAACTAAGGTAAAAATGGACTATTTTAAGAAAAATGGAGGAACTATATGACGCAGCAGAAAAAGTGTGATACAGTGGTGCCTCGCAAGACAAAAATAATCTGTTCCGCGATTCTCTTCGTCTAGCGGTTTTTTCGTCTTGCGAAGCAACCCTATTAGCGGATTAGCGCTATTAGCGGTTTAGCGGCTTAGTGGCTATTAAAGGCTTAGCGGCTTAGCGGCTAAAAGGCTATTAGCGGCTTAGCGGCTATTAAAGGCTTAGCGGCTTAGCGGCTAAAAGGCTATTAGCGGCTTAGCGGCTATTAAAGGCTTAGCGGCTTAGCAGCTAAAAGGCTATTAGCGGCTTAGCGGCTATTAAAGGCTTAGCGGCTTAGCGGCTAAAAGGCTATTAGCGGCTTAGCGGCTATTAAAGGCTTAGCGGCTTAGCGGCTAAAAGGCTATTAGCGGCTTAGCGGCTTAGAAAAAAGGGGGGAGCGAAAAAAATCGCAAGACTCGCAAGACTCGCAAGACGTTTCCGTCTTGCGAAGCAAGCCCATAGGGAAAATCGTCTTGCGAAGCGCATCGAAAAATGGAAAACCCTTTCGTCTAGCGCGTTTTCCATCTTGCGAGGCATTCGTCTTGCGGGGCACCACTGTAATGGAAACCATGGGGGGGGGAGAAGTCTAAGGATTCAGGCAATCCTAAATGTTGACGATTATGATTATTGTTTGAATACAAATGTATGTTGTAAAATTGAATTTTTTAAATTAAAAAAGGGGGGTGAGGGCAGTTCTCATTTCGTCACATAGCCGATTCTGATTAGCTGTGTGTGATGCCTTATTTTCTGGGATCGCCTATGTCACAATTTGTAGAAAACAAATAGACAGTACTGAGATGGTTAAAATGCTTCCACTTCAGTGCAGGAGAGGGCAGGATCAAAATAACTGTTCTTTTAGAAAATGCCACCCAAACCAAAGCACTACTTTCAAGCCAACTTTTTCTAGACCTGGTTCAGACATGACACTAAACCACAGTTTAGCATTGCGTTTCTCATTCCCCTCTCTTTTGGCATGACCACAAAGGGGAGAATGGAAGGATCCACTTCTGTTTCCAGAGTTCAAAGGGAAGCAAAGTTATGCACATGGTTTTGGGCCATGTGCAGAGTTCCAATGGAATCAAGCTTCTCAGTAACACCTTTGCCCACAACCTCATTTGTGGCTTACACTTGGAGGGAATGTAATATAGACGTATATAAAAAACATAATTTTATCGGTATGCCACCTTTGTGCAGGTCAAACCATGCTCAAGACGGCTTACGAC